GGATTGGCATCCGCTGATGTGTATTTTCGCCGCTCATGTGTAATTCCTTGAAACAGCGTCCACACTGGGGTGATGTGTATTTTCGCCGACTGATGTGAGATAAACCCGACGCGTGTAGTGTTCAAGTCCTCTGAAGCATGCTGTGAAGTTTCGGCCACCTTGTACAAAAAGGAAGACAATGTCAGGGTGGTTCTTTGCGATGCAGGGCACCTGCCTCAGACATTGTTGAGCTTTTCTCAACGGACCATGTTCTTTGTAGCCTGCATCCAGGCCGCGTAGTGGTGGGATGGCCTACTATCTGGGCCGGCTGGCCTCCCAGCTGCGGAGTGGTCGCGGAAAAAAATCATCAGCAGCTTTATTCCAGCAGCATTAGTACCTAGCTTCTGCTGACGAAGGAGCGCAGCATGTCATTTGTAGAAGCACTCGTCCTCGTCTCCGAATTGACTTCTGAGGCAATGGGAGCGCGGCGCGGTCCATGGTGAGGGTGCAATAGACGGATCGACCTGTCATCGGTGTTTCTTGCTGTCTCAAGCTGTGGCGAATGAGATTCCACGAGGAGATGCTGATGCCGGGCAGACAGGTGCATTGGCTCTAGCCGGGGGCCTGGGCCGGCAGCGTCCAGTCTCGAGATGTCGGGACACGCTTGCGTGTCGATTCAAGCTCTGTCCAGGTTGCTCCGGACAATCAGGCGGAGCTCGTTGAACAGGACGAGGACGCGTGAGGACGACGGAAGGAAGATCCTGCAGTTCGAAACCCTCCCCAGAGTTTTGTCATAGGACTTGGAAACCACCGTGGCCAAGATTTCCTTCCAAATGGATGAGGCAGCTGTCTTGCGGCGAGGCGAGGCAGTTGTTGATGCTGGCACACTGCCAGGCCGAGCTGGCAGACACACCCTGGCGCCGGGCGGGAACCAATCTGTCCGACTTCTTCAACTTCGGTATGAGCGAGGATGAGTTCAAGGACAGATGGGCCCACCTTTTGAGCATTTACTGATGTCTCTTTCCTCTTTTCTTTTCCTGAGGAATACGTGATGCGCCGTGGGGTCCGGGTGCGGCTGGAGGCCTTCGGCACCGACGTGTTTGGGCCTTGGCTCCGTGAAGTGTGGCCAGGCCAAGGGTCGCCGGAAGATCGAGCGCCTGGAAGGGGGGCGCCGGCAATGAAGCGAGTCGAGAAAGGGAACCGAACGAACGGTGTTGTTTTCTCGTGTGTTCGGAGCACCCGCTGCACCTGCCGCGTTCTGCCAGAAGCCTCGAAGCACCTCAGAACCATGCTGGCCCGACAGGCAAGGCAGCGGCAGATGGAAGACGCGGCCAGGAGACCACTGTTCGGAAGTCGTGCGGGAGGGCATGGGAGGGCTTGGTGGCTGGCACAACCAGACTGTTCCGCGAGGTTTCTCGAACAAATCTGGATGCAGGCAGAAGTCCATGCCTTTCTGTGTCCCGTCCACCGTTAGGAAAAAACATCCCCCAAGTGCGAAGGGCAGGCGGGGACTCTGATGATCAAGCCGTTGTACGCCAATCACACGCGACTGTAGTACCGTGCGTGGGCACCCTGTGCAGGCAACTCGCCGTCACGGCGCCGCTGTTCTCAAACTCGGAGGCTTGGAATGCCTGATCGCCTTAAGGGGGGGTTCTCAGCTCTTGACATCATGCAACTTTTGTCCGCAGCTTTCGTCTCAAGACTCATCAGCACGGTTCACATTGCGCAAGCATGGCAGATCGTTCCCTGGCAGTGCTTGACAAGGAGCTGGCGGAGCGTGTTGTCCTGGTCTCCGGCTTCGATGTGCGTCTGGTTCGAATCAACTCAAAGATGGACCACTACCACGTTCTTCAGGGTCTTCAGGATCCGTGTGATGAAGGCGAGACCTCGGAGACATTCTACTGCTACCAGTGCTGGGGCGAGACCGGCACCCCCGGCAACAAAAAGCTCGATGGCCCTTTCTCTGACAGGGAGATGCGGGAAGCTTTTGCCGGAGTGTTCGAGAAACGGACCGGAAGTGCTTGGGGAAGTCTGAAGCCAGGAGACAAGGTCGCCCATGGAAATTTCTGGTGGCAGCAGGTGAGTGCTGTGGATGAGCAAGCCCTCTGGCAGTACTATGTGCACGACGGGGTGGATGGCAAGAGACGCGGCTGGTATCCGTACGAGGACAGGTTTGCAGACATGACCTGAGACGGTGTGACAGTTGTCATTGTTTCAGCACATTTTTACTAGGTCATGCAGTCCTGGGTCTACTCGAACATCACTCTGAAGATCTGCCAGTAGCTAGCAAAGCTTTCGCATGGTAGCAGGACGATGCTTCTGCTCTGGTGGAAGAGATGTTTGCGCAGCACGTGAGCAACGACCAGGAGAAGCGTACAGCGATCAGGACGGTGTCTTCAGGCCAGGCAGGCTGGTCTGTGAATGGTTGCGGCAGCTTGAACTGCTGTGCAAGCCCATCCGCTTCCCGTCCAGGCTACTTCTCCTACAGAATCGACTTGGAGGCCATGACGCAGGAGAATGCCAGGACCGGCAAGGTCCGTGCCATCCGGCGTTTCACGAAGACCGTGATGGAGAAGTCCGCGAAGAAGCGGGCTGCCAAGAGGTCGCCAGCCGATCGCAAGAAAGTGGCGAAGACGATTCTGAAGACGAAGAGCAAGCCCAAAGCAAGGGAGCCCAGCAAGACCAGGAAGACCAGCAAGCCCAGCAAGCCCAGCAAGGCAGCCAAGGCCAAGGCCCCCAAGGTCAAGGTGGCAACAGGCAAGGATGCCAAGGCCCAGGTCTTCCAGGGCAAGTTCACCCGGACCTCTACCGGCCTCAAGAAGAGAGACCTCAAGAAGAACAAGTACGGAAAGGTGGTGAGCAAGAGGCTTTCCGAAGCAGGTTGGATGCATCTGCCTGTTCTAGATTGTGTGTTTTGGAGCCACGTAAGCCCGGTGAGTCCACTTGCTGTGGTTCTGATTCCGGAGGCCGGAAGAACTTCGCTCGGGTTGCTTGCTGGATTGCCGCCTGCCAGAAAGCCCGGGATGAGCTTGGCATTACCGGCTTCGTTGCAATCCGAAAGGACCCGAATGCATGGGTTTGTCCCGAAGGGTACCTGGCCCTGCAGGTCGTGTAGAGCACTTGACTCAAACCCTTCTGTGGGACCTGACGGTCTTGGCAGATCCGAACATATCCGAATTATTGCCATTATGAACTTTATACCCAATATGGTGACGGGCCTTCCTCGAAATTGCGTGAGAGCGTGGTGCATTGTCGAGCAAGTCGAGCGGCTTCATTTAGTGAGCCAGTGGACTCAGCGATGCTCAGAGGGATGCGTGTAGCAAAACAGTCAGCAGCAAAGACTTCAGAGAACGACTCATTGACAGGACAGGAGTAAGTTGTGAAGGATAAGGCTGGAGCAGGACACACAGAAGGCGAGAACAAAAGCATGAACAGAGAAGGAACCCTGCAATAGAGCAGCCAAATAATCGGCCAGATGAGAACGACAGGCGAGAAACACGAAAGACGAGCACCGACAGGCCACATGAGAACCAACCGACCAGAAGGAAGCAAAGGAAATGGTAAGGAAGAACAGTAGAAGTAAGGCAGACATCGCGAAGAAAGAGCATTGCACTTCAAGCTTTCTGAGGAGGGTACGGCTCAGACAAAAATAACAGATATGATTTCTGTTTATGATAGCCAGCGGACGGTACAATGCCAAGCAACCTAACTCTTCTTACGGTTGACGAGACACACCGCCTGCACGTTGTGAATGCAAGATGTGAATTCGACCAGAATCGTGTGTGTCACATGCTGAAACGGAGACCGAGAGACAGACACAAACAGACGCAGACAGACACAGCCAAACACAGACAGAGACAGAAAGAGACAGACAGAGACAGACAGAGACAGACAGAGACAGACAGAGACACAGACGGAGACAGACAGAGACGGACAGAGACACAAACAGAGACGGACAGACACAGACAGAGACAGAAAGAGGCAAACAGAGACAGACAGAGACACAGACAGAGACAGACAGAGACAGATAGGGACAGACAGAGACGGACAGACGCGGACAGAGACACAGACAGAGACAGGCAGAGACAGACAGCACAGACAGAGACAGACACAGACAGACACAGACAGGCACAGACAGACACAGACAGACAGAGGCAGACAGACCGACAGACAGACCATGACAGACCGAGACACAGACGGAGAGAGACGAGGCGACAGACGGAGAGAGAGACACAGACACAGAGACAGACACAGAGAAAGACAGAGACAGACAGAGAGTCAGGCAAAAACGGCAGACAGGTAGACAGACAGATTTTGTATACTTGTCCTGACACTACGCAGGACACGGAACTCTACAAGAAGGCAAAGGAGCTTTGTCCTCACGTGGAGCCACACGTCCTCGGGAAAGCAAAACGGTAGGTGGAAGTCTCACGAACCGTGCCGAGTTCTCGAGACATTTTTGACTTCACGACTGGCCTTTCTGCATGTACAGTGTGCAGCCATGGCAGATTCAGGCAGGCCTTGTATAGTGGTTGCTGAGTTCTACTACAGAATAGTGTGTTTGTACATAATCTTGTTGGTGTGCAATACATCATGCTCTGTGTATTTCACGTGACTTCCGGCTGGTATTGAAGAAGACACGTGCGCCATGGTTCTGCAGGATGTGGCAAATTCTGCGTCGGCTGTGAGGGCAGAACTGAACTGTCCATAGAAGCTCTGAAGCTTTCGTTCGTGTCTCTGTAAGAATTCAGGTCGGCCCATCCATGTTCTCCCTCCGTCAAACAAAGGAGACAGGATTTCCAAATAGGGGCCGTGCAACAGGGGCCACCCATCTTTACTTGAGCCGCTGTTGGGGGCCTGAGCTCGGCACAGCGGCAGAGAAGGTGTGCCGTTTATTTCCTTGTGTCAGTCCCGAGCTCTGCCAGGCTTATGTACCTTCGCGGCGGCTGGAAAGCAGCTTGGGCCTCGGCATCCGTCGAAAGAAGGAGCTTCGTGACGAGCACTTGTGCTACCGGTCGCCTTGTCTAGGCAGCGTCCCGCAGCGGAGGCTGTGATTTTCGGTCGGAAGAGATCTGCCACATCTTGCCACGCTTCTACACCTGTCCTTGTCGTTCCTGCATGAAGAGTGATCTGTCGCCTGCTCAAATACTTTCTCTTTTTGAGATCACATGAGAAGGTATGGCCGCTCGAATTCGCCAGACTCCGATGCTAGGCACCGGAATGGTGCTGCCTTGGGAGGTTGCCAGAGGGTCCGTGTTTTGCTGGAATCACGCTGGGCCCTGCCGGACTAAGAGAGCCTTTGAGGTCTAGAGTGGTTGTTGCCTCTGTGCCAGGCAGCGACAGCTAAGCAAGGCTTCTGCTCTGCCTTCGAAGTGAAGCGACAGCCCAGAGAAGCGCTGAGGCGAGAACTTCTGTCAGCTCCGTATCTAGATAGCTGAGAAAAATGTACAGAAGTTTTAGATGCACCGACGGCCACAGCCCCGTCTGTGCGGGAACTGCTCCTGTGCTAAGTTTGCCTGTCCTTTTCTGGAGACTCCATTTGGCTTGACCGGATTACCCTTGCTTGACTAGGAATCTGAAAAGCACAAGGCGGTAACGCCAAGGCAAGGCTGACTTTGCACAGACATCGCGGGTCGTGTTGTTTGAACACTGCAAGAAAAAGGACAGACTGCAGCATAGCCGAACTGCTGAAAGAACAAGCTGTTGCTAGTTTCTGTCATGCTGTCACTGCTTTCGGCTCATCGTCCGCTATTCAAAGATACCCCATGCTTGAAAGTCTGGACACGCCCATTCTCAGTACATGGTTGGACGGAACCGAAACAAGCGGCCTGCAAAGAGGAACCACCACCTCCCCAAACCACTCGGAAAAGGTGTTTTAGTCACACATGTCACAACAACTGCCATAGTCACTTTCTTAGACGTCCTTTTCAGTGTGCGGCGAAGGGCCGCGGCCCTTGCCATCGCGACACCGGGCCTGAAGACTTACGTACTGTCAATGCAAGGCCATGCTGGGAATTGCAAGCTACGACTCGGACGAGGAGCCCCCAGCAGGTGCCGGAAGTTTTTGTATTCGGGGCTTGCGTTCCGCTTCATCGGACTGTTCCGCTTGCCCCTGACAAGCCCCTGCTGCCGAAGCAGTGCCCGCGGCAGCGGAACCGCCCGCAAAGCGGCCTGGTTTGGACTGGCGATGTTCGGTAAGCAAGCAGGTGAAGAATGAAATGTCATGAAGCTTGTGGGAAGCAAGTGTGTGGTCAAGGGAAGATTCTTGAATTCTTGCGACCTTCGTGTCTCCAGGCGGCAGCGTACAGAAGAACCTGCCGCCGTGACGAGCTCGGAGAAGTGCGGTTCTGAATCTTCCGAGTCTCACCAGATGCATCCGGAGGACCTTGCGCCGAAGACGCTGGCAAGGTGTGCCCGCATTGCCCTGCCAGCCGGAACTTTGCACCAGAACTCTAGCTTCTAGAAGATGCTGTGTACGCAGACACTCGAGACTTGGACTGCGCAGAGGCCAGAGCTTCCGACACGCGTGCGAGAGCAGAAGCTGCGGGAGATCAAGCGGGAGGCCGGGTGGCCGGACCGACCGAGGTTGTCTCCTTCTCATGTCTTGTGCAAACTTGGCCGTTCTGAGATTTCCCTGGCCAAGAGTGCGACGGCAGTCGTGCAGGCACAACTCCACTGAGTTTTTGCATATGTTTGTATGCGTGCTTTTTGTTTCGAATTCGACCTGTTGCGCTTCAGCTTCTTCATGAGCCTTCATCACCAAGAGGTTGTGCGGCAGAACCTGAAAGACTGCACCTTGCTTACTTCAGATTCCTCCGATCTGCCGCATGCCGCATAGTTCTGTTTTTTGAGGCTGGGATGCGCGCTGGGGGGCAGAGGCGCTGTACCAGGCAGTGCCTGTTCAAAGACTGAGCGGATGCCACGGCTGCAAAAAAACGCATGCACGCGCCTCTCGTTGCAGCTGAAGCTTGGAGGTTGCCAAGCGATCCACAGCGAGGACGCGACAGGACGGGTGGCTTTCAGGAAAGGGAGAAAGGCAGGTCGCCGTGAAAGGAGCGGGTTGCGTGCGAGGAGTGGGCGGAAGATAAGGCAGTCTTGAAGCTGGCTGAGAAGCTGAAGGAAGACGCCGCTAACTTGGCAGCGCTTCTCTCGTCTGCAGGGTTTAGGGACGAGGACAGCACAAAAGAGCGCCTGAGGCAGCTTCTGGGAGCCTGGGGCTGAACAGCCATGCCTCGAATCTCTGGGAAATTTGTCCAAAATGCAAGATGGCTCCATGTTTCCACGACTGTTACACTGCGTCGCGTCGCTCGCTGAGATGATGCAGACATCATCTTGCTGTCCATGGAGGCTCTCAGAAGGATGACGATACAGGAGCTTCGAAGGAGAGTTGCCAGGGTCACCATAAGTCAACCCAGGGTCACCCCTGTTCCCAGGAGTCGCAGGATCAGAAGTCGATCATAGAGGTGGGGATCATCTGGGTTTCCAAAGGGAGGAGAGAGGGCCTGCAAGCAGCTCTCAAGCTCGAGCACTCTGCACCCCGGCCCAGCACGTCGTCTCCCTGATGGTCGCTCGCAGCTGGCGGTCTCCTGCCAAGAGCCGCGAGCAAAGGCTTCCTTCGCTGCCGGAACCTTCGAAAGGGAAGGTTCGTGCCGGATCCTCCCTCCAAGGCCTCGCGCGGCTTTTCTGGCTCGGTGCGCCCTTGAAGAGCGAAGGCCGCGGCCCGCGCGGCCGCATGCGCCGCTCATGCGCCTTCTGCCTTCGTCTCTTTTCGTTGGGTCCGGGAGGCTCGCTGAAGGAGCACTTCGAGTCGAAGGCTCTGCCCTCGCTGCTCCGCTCGAAGCAGATGGACCTTGCCACGGCCTCGGAAGAGCAAAAGAAAAGAGCTCTGCAAAGGGCTAAGACGCTAAGACTGCACTGAAAGGATGGGCCAGACTTGGCACTGATCTTGGCCGCCATGAAGGGCGAGAAGGGTGCGGAGCCAGGAGGTTTGAGCAATTGGAAGGGTCAGCCGCCTTGCTTTTGGAGGTGTGAAGGACACCGCCCTCCAGTCGAAGGTCGGAAAGGGGTTCCGGCCGTCCTTCCCTCTGTCCCTTCCTCACTTCTTCAGGTGGTGCTGCGACTGAAGGAGAAAGGCATCCATCGTGGCCTCTCGGCAACTGCCGCTTGATTGCATCTCCTGCAGTCTTGGAGATCCTCGCTGCAAACCGTTTCCTGGCAGGACATTGTGGAGATGGCGGAGTGTCTTCAGGCGCTTCCACCTGAATTTCTTATAGAGCTCAAAGTGGAAAAGTCATCCAATGATCATCCGATTGCCACACCGCCAGGACCTGGGAGTGCAAGATCAGGTGGGAGGCGTTGTGTGAGGCGTTGTGTGGCGTTTTCGTGGGTTCAGTGGCGCTCACAATTGCAAGGCGGCCTTGAGGCCCTTGGGCCAGGAAGGCCTGCGCCGGCGAGGCCTTTAAAAGGGGGGCCCTTGAAGCTCCGGGCTCTGGGAGCTCTTTGGAGCACCGCAGGCGAGCTGACTCCTGACGAGTCCCATCGCATCCACACCGCATTCCAGGTGCTTTGAAGCGCAAAGCCTTGGCCAAGTTTTTTTTTGCTTCGATTCGCAACATGACGACAGGCGATGAAGCAGCCGCTTCCGCTCCTCAGCTTTGGTTTCGGAGTGCTCGCCGTCTCTTGTCAGCTTGAACCTGCCGGGCGAAGCGAAGCTCTTGAGACTCCAAGGCAGGTCTGGGACAAGCCAGGCAGCACGAAGACGAAGCAGACAGACAATGGCAAGGTCACCACGCAGGTTCGACATGGATCGCACGTCTCGAAGCCAGACCAAACGCTTGCTTTGCAGGCCTTCGCCTTGCAAGACGGGCATGAAAAGAAGCGGCACGGAAACAACGATGCTTGGCAGTGCTTAGTATCTGCACTTCAGCTGGATTCTGCGGTCTCGCTTCATGGTGCTCTTTTACAGTGCACCGATTTTTTGATAAATCGGATTTGCCAGCAGCGCCTGAGCTCAGTGGGTCTGTGGCAAGACTTGGAAGCGCCACTCCTGGCCAAGCAGGATAAGAGAGAACACACTGGCAGTTGGATGACTGGATCTGGCATACAGCTACGGGTGAACTCCAGAGCTCATTCGGATTAGCTTCCAAGTTAATAATCTTTACTGTGAAGGGCTTCCGTGGACTTCCCCGTAGCAGGAATTAGCGCAGGATGTAGTCTTTCTGGCCTCTCGCCCAAGGACATCGAGCGAACGTGGATCCGGCATCTTGGCCTCTGCAGGATGGTTCTGTCAGCCTTTCACGACCTGGCAGGTCTCCTCCCAGAGTTGTGCGAGATATGAAGATGTGCTCCTACTGAGAGGGCAGCACCCTTGTCGCGGCTGGGAGAACAAAAGACGAGAAAGCACTGCGCTTCGCGAGCAGAGCCCACGGGTGTGCTCGTTTTGATGTGCGACTGCATGCGAGGGCCGCGACAGTCGAATACCTCGCCTCGCTTTAATTGTGCATCTCAAGAATGGAAGCCTCGAGCCAGCGAGCTCTTCGGATTCCTGTTAGCATTGCATGGTATTCACACAAGCCGGAGCTAATAGGCCGAGTCCTCATGTGTGCTTGCATCTAGAGACTGACAGCATCATTCCCAAGTGCCTCACAGTGAGCATGCAGGCGTTCGAGGCATTCAGATGAGAGTCAAGAAGTAGCGCATGCATTACGCAGCATTCTTGCATCTGTGTTGGCAGGTGGATGATGCAGCAAGCACTGCAACAGCCAGCACGCCTTCGCGGCGCAGGCGCCTGGCAGTTTGATGCTTGCTGCAGGACAGGAGTTGTGCGAGATCGTTGGGTCTGTCCGCGAATCTTATCAATACACCCAAACAACATCCGCGGGATGCAGAGAAGCACGCTCGAGCTTCTTCGGTAAGGATCCGTGTGTGAACATCTTGAGGATAAGAAGAGCTTCTTCTTTCTCGATCATCAAGCGGGGTCTGGTGCAGCTGGTTGATCTTTCAGACTGTGCCCAAACCTAGCACCATCCTGCAGGCAAGTTGCTTTTGTCGTCGCGCCGATTGTCTTCGTGGCTGCTCTGCTTGGCGGCAGCAGAACTCAGTGCAGCATGATGGCACAACAGCCAGAAGAGGACGACGTTCAACTGCGCTTGCAATGCTTCTCTGCAGGGCGATCTTGAGTGGTCTGTGCTGCATGAGCCCTTTCTTGCCGAGTCTGTGGACTGGCCGGGCTTTTCTCGGCGCCGGATCTTGGCCTGAAGCCCGAGCCAAGGAAAGAAGCGAGGATTCGGGATGATCATATGAAGCCCTCTGAAGGTAGCAGGGCCCTGATCAAGTCGATCCGAGGCACCAAAGCCGGGTCCCGAGCCAACTACGAAGAGACTTTTGCCTTGAGCATAGTGACATGTGAGGACAGATGTGAGGAGGCCGGCGAGGTCCTGCCGGGCCGATTCCGCCCGGGCTCCTGGCAGCTTGTCATCACTTTGGAGTTGACTGGTGATTCTCTGCCACGGTCAAGGCCCGCGCTGCACCGAGGACGGAAATTGGGCTTCGCATCAGTGCCCTGGACCCGGCTCTTTGCCCAGACCTCAAGGCCTGAGGGGAGGGCTTGAAGCCAAGGTGATGGCAGCACCGGCATGTGCTGGTGCGCGGACAAGGCCAAGACTTGCCCATCGGAGTCTTAACGCACCCAGGAAATTGCGATGATCGTCCGCTAGCAGGCTGGACAACTGCTGGAGGGAACTCGCGGCAAGCCTGGCAAGGGGCCAAGGCGGGCAAGACACGATCGTGACTGAAGTTGATGAAAGGCTCGAAGGACCTGCCATGAGACCGCACTGTTTCGCTGGAGCTTTCGCTTCAAGGCACAAGGCCGAATTGCAGGACTGCATGCCAGCCCAGCCGCCCAGCCTCCCGAAAGTGAGTGAATTTGTCGTGAACAGCCCATATGCCCAGCAAGCCCTGAAGGCAGGAAGCACATCTGTCAGGTCAGCTAGATTAGGGTGCCGCGTTGGCATCGCTCGCCATGGGCCAAAGCATCTCAGGCATTTTAAGCTTTTTCGGCGGCGGTTCGAAACAAGATCCTTCGCATGCCGACGATGATGAGGATACCATTCCAGGCATGTGCCTCACGCACAAGCATCTGCAGCATGTGCCCCGAGAGGACGTTCCAGAAGCTACCCGGAGATACAAGAAGTGTCCAGCCCGCAGTTTCAAGGCAGCGAGGCCTGGCCTCACCGGGTTGAGTGCCGTTTCCGACGAAAGGAATTGTCTCTCCAAGGTTCAGAAAGCATGAGGAGTTGTTTGCTGCTTCCATTCCCGACAGCTGGGTGGCTCCCGAGCTGCTGGAATCTTGTTTGGAAGAAGGGAGACATCTGCATTTCGCTGCAAGCACTCATTTAGGATGTTGGTGGTCGCGACGGACATGACGGTTTCGGTTCGTCTTGAGCTTTGCGTGAGCTCAGGAGATCGTCCGAGCTTGCAAGTCTGGCTTCAATTGCGAGCCCCGTGAAATCTGTCCACATCTCCGTGGGGTCCCCAAGAGAGAGAGAGAGAGAGCTATTAGTTGGTATTTGGGGGTTTGAGATATGTTTCGTTCCTTTGAAGACTGAACCCCTGAAGCTAGTAATATGCTCCGCCGTCTTTAATTCACGCGTGCTGTGTCTGCTGGGGAACCGTGTGGTGTTCAGATATGTACTTGTCCTCCAGCCCACAGCAGTCACGGAAGAAAGGGTGTCCCAAAGAAAACATGTACTGGGCTACGTATTTGGGGGCACACAATCTTCAAAATCCGCAATGTACTGGCCGCCTTTTCACGTCCTCCCGAAAGCCTCACAAATTGTGGGGGGCCAAATGGCCGGGGGGTTTCCCAGTCCCCTCATGCCCTGGCGAAGAAGAGAGAGAGCGAGAAGGAGAGACAAAAAGAGAGGGCTCTCCTCACCTAATCATTAGAGCTAAGCACAGTTGTAAGCTTGGGATAGAAGAGCTCTCGCCCGATCGTGCTGCAGTTCCCGGTCGGAGATCTTTCCGAGGCGAGGAGGTGGCGGGTGTGTACTCGTTCCCGTGCTTCACGAAAGACTTCATCTCTTGCTTCAACGAGGAGATGCCAGTGATACGCGAGGGATGTGAAAGGGGAAGCCAATATCCACGCATAGGAGGGAAGGTCGGGAAGTGTCGTCGTACTTGCACCTAGTAAAATCTAATGACGAGTTTCCAGCGACGGCCTGAGCTATAAATTCGCCAGCACATGCCATGTCTGTCTGCTTCACTTGATGCTGGAGTCGGTGGATTTCGAGACTTTCGTAATCTACTCCTCCCGTTTTGAGGGGTTTCGTTTTGAAGGTCTACATGACCGGCACTAACAAGCCTAGAGTCGTCGGGGTTGTTGACGGGATTTGTCATACGGACTTAGCATGTGATTAGGTGTAAATATGGGTAACTACTGACGTTAAACAGTCATTTGCAGAGGGTTTTTCTCGCGCAAGTCTTTCAAGACAAACTTAACAAGATGAAATGCGGAGCCGCGGAGTCTGAGCAAGATTTGTTGAGTTTCTGGATAGCTTGAGGTTACAGGGCCAGGAGGCTTGCGTGCAGCACCTAAAAGCCAGTGGATGCCTGCGCAAACCGCCCTGCAAGAGGTGCCAAATCCGCCGAAACCCGAAGCCCAAGAGCCCTTGAGCCCCTGCAACCCCGTTTTCCACTTAAGACCCCTAAGCCCGCAGCTCGAATGCAAGCAAGCCATTCCAACATGTTCTGAACATGTTTGAAACCCTGATCTGCAAAGTTTTGACTCCAAGCCGCAGCCTCTCAAACTCACGCCAGCGTAGTTTCACGCTCCAAGTTTTAGCTGTCTGAAAACTCGATGCAGTCGAACAAGGAGATTGCTAGCTTCTACTCATCCGGCATCCCAGCGCGGCGCCCGAATTCCATGAACAACTACGGCAGCTTGGCTACTCCAAAAGCCGTGCATTGCCCGGAAGCGGAGGACAGGGATTGCGCAAGGTCTACGAGTTTAAGGACACTCCGAAATATTTCCTGGAGAATGGCACCTTGTGCCCTCAACGAGTCCGCAACGATTGAAACCAACTTCACGAGAGTAGGATGTGAAGAAGAACTGAGCCATGTTTCTTGACTGACGAATTCGGCAGAGCTTAGCGACTCCGTGCGGGAGTGAGGGGTGGTATCTCGCTTGGACATGGACCCGGTGTCGTCTCACAGTTTCGGTAATGTGGGTCACGGTTCCACCAGACAACCAAGCAATATGTAGTTTGTTGCTGGTGCATCGCGGTGCCACTAGGCATGATGTCACAAGCAGGAAGAGGCAATTCGCACGGAACTTGCATGGCTGCCCAACAGCAAGACCCCATCTCGGATCCGTTGCCCCAGGTGTCATCGTGAACGAGATCGGAATGCGACCACTGATCACAGAGTTCCAGCAAAAGTATATTTGGCCAGTTGCAGCCTGGCAACATCTAGTACTGTGTTCTCACTCTCGCTCGCTTGCTCGCTCTCGCTCTCGCTCTCGCTCTGGCTCCCGCTCTCGCTCTCGCTCTCGCTCTCGCTCTCGCTCTCGCTCTCGGTCTCGGTCTCGGTCTCGCTCTCGCTCTCGCTCTCGCTCTCGCTCTCGCTCTCGCTCTCGCTCTCCCTCTCGCTCTCTCTCT